AAGCTACACAGAGAAACCCTGTCTCAAAAAACCAAAAAATAAAAATAAAAAAAAGAAGAGAAAACAAAAAGAAAGCCAAATGGTTAAGTCTCAAAAGGACTAGTTACAATGTTTGTAGCCAGTCTCAGAATAATGGGTAAGGTTATCCGAGGTTCTGGCTAGAAATGTAATATGATGGACCATCTCATCTTAGAACTGTCCTGAAGAGTTTGCAGTCCAAAGTTGATCACTGAGTAGTGTTTCTTGGTTCAATGGCATCGTTATGGATTGGTCAGAGTCATTGTTGTGGGGCTCCATCTTCCTTCTGGAGACTTCAGAGATTGCTATTGGAAAGATTTATTTTTCACTGCTGAAAACTTGAACATTATTAATATCAAAATGGAAAGTTTGAATCTTAAGATGACAAGACATGTGAGAAAGGATTCTGAGAAATCAAGAATAAGCATGGAGAGAAATAGAATCTTGACAACAATGGTCCCTAGATTACTGGCTTTCTTCTGTCCCACACCAGGCAGCTCTTGTGATATGAGAATGATATGATATGAATTACTATGCTAATCACTATTATGGTGACAATTGTATATGTCCCAGGAAGGTCATATATGTCTTGTAAAATTTCTTCCATAGTATAAACAAAGAAGTTTTTAAACTCCTGAGCGATTATAATATCAGCCATTGTATGAGACTTAAAATCTGTAAACAAAATTTTATTTATTTGTTATTTATTTATTTATTTATTTATTTATTTATTTATTTATTTATTTATTTATTTATTTATTTATTTATATCAGTTTAAGGGGTAAAGTTATCAAGTAGTTTTCCTCAAATAAGATCCTCAAGAGATTGTTCTAAGTGTCCAGCTGTTCCAGATGTAATTGACCAGGTTGAGCAAATGGCTGGTTCGTTGGATGATTTTTGGATGAAGTATCAATGTTTTGCCAGTAGGTGTCGCAGGTGTAGTGCCAAAACAGGTCTGGTGTGAACTGACTCCGCTCCCTGAACCGGCTCCTGGAAATCAAACACTAACCTAGGCAACCCCGACCCATGAGTACTGGGCAGAGCTGTCGGAATCACGACAAATGAGGTAATACACCCAACAATGGCAGGGGCTGTGCACGGAATGGCGCTGGCGGCAGCGGCGATAGGAGTTTCAAAAGATGGAATTTGCAGCAGCTATACCAAACAATTTTAAAAGTAAAGGAACAGCCTGCTGGCCGTCTCTTCGGGGAGGGACCGGATCCAGCCACTACAAGCACAGGACTAGAAAGGCGCCTAGCGCAGGCACCTTTCTCTCTGTCACGGTGCTCTATCCGCCACTGAATGCGCACGTTTCTGGCAGTGGTTACAGGAACCGCGGCTGCGTGAGCCGCCTGGGCTACTGGCTCCCCACACGGCCGCTGCATGCCGGCGGTCACCTGAGCAGGGGTCAGGCAGCTCCTGCGGGCTTTGGGCTGTGTGTGGGCTCTGTAGTGCAGAGAAACTCACCAGCAGCCACCTGTGGGATTAGGATTTGGTCACGTGAGTAGCCCCAGTAAATGCACATGGGGCTCGGATCCATGTGGTTGGGCACTAGATAATGGGAGAAATCCATGGGAGTCTGCTTAAGGAGTATTAGGGAGTTTATTAGGATATAAATGGAGGAAATACACTCATGAATACAGAACTGGTTAGACAGCTGAAGTCGTCCTCTGATCTGATCAGGAGCAAATCCACTTGACAGGTTGATCACACCAGGAAGCACCAAGCAAGGAGCAGGGACCTCATGACCTGTCTCCCTTTCCTTTTAAGATGTCAGGTATGATGGCAAGAAGCATCGCCTCCTTTGGGCCCTATAGCCCAAGATCATGGATGGAGCAAATACCACTACAATGAGCTAAGTTATTTGTGTTAAGTTCTAGCTGTTTTACAGCCACCATGAAACCTGAATGATTTTCCAATCTTTCAGTGAATAAAGACATGCAAAGACAGTAAGAAATTAGAGTCATGTGAGGGACTAGCTCAGTGGTGAAGCACTGATCAGACTCTGCAAGGTCCTGCATTCCAACTTCAAGAAACAAAATTACAAAGGCACTATAAATGAGAACAAAAATCTAGAGATAAGTTGAACATGAGGGGTTGGAGAGATGTCTCAGCAAGTAAAAACACCTGCTGCAAAGCCTGATGACCTGAGTTCAGTTCCAGGAACCCACAGAGGTCCTTCAAGTTGTCCTCTGACTTCTAGACACATGCACACATAAGCACCAAACAAGCAACTCTCTCTCTCTCTCTCTCTCTCTCTCTCTCTCTCTCTCTCTCTCTCTCTCTGTATGTGTGTGTGTGTGTTTGTCTGTGTGTGTGTCTGTGTCTGTGTCTGTGTAGCTTTGGAGCCTTTCCTGGAACTCACTCTGTAGACCAGGCTGGCCTCAAACTCACAGAGATCTGACTGCCTCTGCCTCCCAAGTGCTGGGGGTTAAAGGTGTGCGCTACCACTGCCCGGCCATAAGCAAATCTTCTTAAAATATAAATTACACTCTTCCTCTGAATCCATTTCTTTTTTGAACAACAATAATGTTTATTTACAATATAAACAAATTCCTATTGCTGGCTCCAGATGCCTGTGTGTGTGTGTGTGTGTGTGTGTGTGTGTGTGTGTGTGTGTGTAGAATTGCTAATTTTCCTTCATAAAATCAGAAAGCAAAACTGGGATACACTCTGGTGTACACTTATTTATACTCAGATATGTCTTTCCAGATTTTTTGTTTGTTTGTTTTTAATGAGAGAGAGAGAGAGAGAGAGAGAGAGAGAGAGAGAGAGAGAGAGAATGTACAACATGGTTTGTTGTTTGTTTGTTTGGGGTTTTCGTTTGTTTTTGTTTTCTTTTTGTCTCAACTATACCAAGGTTTTATTCTGCTATTCTAAAGAATCCCTGGACACCAAATCATCCCTGTGAGGTAAGATGTGAGCACAGTTTCAAAAGTTTCTGCACCTCAATAGGCCTCTCCGCCAATACAGCAATCCAAATCAGACCAAATCAAACCGAATTAAGAAAAAGCCCCAGTTTAATGGGTAAAGCAGTCCAGGGTGATTTTCCAGCCCCCAGAGAGGAGGCAGGGAAAAGAGACTGAAAAACCACTTGTCTGTTTTCTGGGGTGCAGTTTAAATACCCTGTGGGCGTGGTCTTGAGCATCTCTGGGGGAGGAGCTGTTTTTGGTGGGCTTGAGACAGGGCAGGGTTTGGGGAGAGAAAGATGGGGGAGGGGTGAGGTGGAGCTTCCATCTGAACATCTCAGACTCTTTGGGTATTTGGGTATCAGGGTGTCTGGTGGAGCTTCCACCAGAAGACAGTTTCCATGGCCTCTTTCACTGCCCACTGCCAATGGCAGTTCCATTAGGGACCCAAGCATTTCCCTTTCCCATCCCAGGCCTGGTGGTGCCTGGTGAGAACTGAGATGGAGAAGGAATAAAATGGAGGAGCGTTATGGAACCCGAGGCTTTGTGCTGTAGGTGCTAGAGAGGCAGGCAAGGTCTCACACTCCCTCCACTGGCCTGTCCTTCCCCACCTGCCACCACCCTGCCATGCAAGGAGTGCAAGTTGCCTGCAGATAGAAGGCGTGGGCAAGGGAAAGCTCTGGGAATGCAAAGCTGTATCCCACCACACAAGCTTCACTCAGGCACTGCGGGGGGGGGGGGGGGGGCACTGTGGCCCTGGCCCAAAGGCCGGCAAGGGAACTCAGCCACTGATTAGCCTGGTTCTCTGGACAGAAGTGACATCTGTGGGTTCTTGGGGGTGGGCAACAGGCTAGGAACCACCCCCATGCCTCTGCACACACCAGGCCCTGTGGAGGGATGCCTCAGACGCCCTGGTGCTGAACGCACTGGTACATCAGGCTTCATGTGAACTCGAAGGTGTTGATCAGAAACAGGTTGTGGCTGGTGAGTGTGGAGAAGTAGAACTGTTCACTGGGTGCTTGGCTGTGGCATGGCTGCTGAGCTCCAGCGTCTGCCCAAAGTCCAGCAGCTGCCCCATGAAGCTGAAGGTGGATACAATGTTGGACTTTTTCCTCTTGCTAGCAAGAGAGACAGGTGCCAGATAGGCTACAGTGACAGTGGCTGAGCAGCTGGTACCTGACAGGCATCAAGACGCCACACTTCATAGAGCCACTTCATCAGTGAGGTCGGTGGGGCTCCAGGAAGAACAGGGAAAGGTTCTGACCCCAGCAAATCTGATGCAAGTAAACTTGCCACCGTGCCCCAAAGCGTTGGGTAGGTTGGGCACAACGTTGAGGACATATTTGATGACATTGCCATCTAGGTTGGTAGGGTCCTCGGCACAGCCAAGGCAGAGGTAGGCCAGGGTCTAGACTGGAAGGCTGTCTGGTTGGATGTCACGGTGCTGCCGTGTGTCTCAGTACTACAGATAGACAGGCCTCGGGCTACCTCACCATCAAATCAGTCAGAGCCGATGCACAGCCCTCCCCTTCTCCGTACCCCCGCCTTGCACCCCGCCTCTTACCAGCACCAAGGTGTGTGGTGAGAACTCAGAGAGGATGAGGTGCCCATGTAAGTCTCACAATGCTGAGTATTCTGTCTGGAATTACCTTGTGGGTAATAGGCCTGATAGCCTTGCTTCACAGGTTGAGGATGGAGACCTGAGGGTCAGGCACTGAGGCCAACAGGCAGAGGGTGGTGAAGTACTCCCTGTCTGCCTGGTTGGGAGTGACGGAGCCGATGGGCAGGTTGTCCTTGCAGAGGCCAGCACGAGGCCAGGGATGTTCAGGTTGACTGCCATGTGAATGTGCAACAACCCTCTGGACCAGCAATCCAGCAAGCAGCCTGTCTGCACTCTTTCAGGGCTTGGTCCTGGTCCAGTCATTGCACGCTCCCCTGTACCTGTGCTGGACCCAGATCCCACATCAGGCTCCTCACCTCACTGGCCCCAGCCTGGTCTCCCCTCACCTGCCTCCTGCTGAGCTGCAAACCCCTGAATCTATTTCTCAAGTCAGGAAAATGTGAAACTCAAAATTTTAATGGGTTTAATTTTTATTTTTGGAGACATAGTTTTATTATGTCCCCAGCCTAGTTCCAAACTTTCTATGTATTCCAAGATATTCTCCAACTCATGATCCTCTGTCTCACCCTCCTACGTACTGGGATTTCAGGTACATATCCCCATGCCCAACTGACATTTTTAATGGACTCATGATGAGGGGGAGGAGGAATCAAAGCCCAGAAGTGCTGTGAGAAAGGAAACATTAGATTCTTGTAAAGTCAGTGGGAATCTCAATGAACATCGCCCAGGACAAAAGTAAAACGAAGGATCCGGAAGAGTGATTTCATATATTTTAAGCTGCCTTAGTGATCTTAGGCATCACAAGCCTTGAATGCCATTTAACATGCTTCTCAGGGGCGCCAGGATTTCCCTTTTCTGAAAAATCATTTTACTCAAACTTTATAAATATCCCTCTAGGTGTAGTGTAGCAGCCCACTCCTGTAAGTGCGTCACTAAGAAGACAAAAATTGGAGAATACCTTCAAATATAATGAAACAGACGAGGAGCAGGATGAAGTAGAAGAAAATGGAAACAATGTGATTAAGGCTTTGCTTCAATGCCTAGGAGTCTCAAGCGGGCCTGAAACTCTGCTCCCTCTCTTACTCTCCCTCAGAAAGCTCAGAAGCTCTTACAGGATGAAGTGCAAACTTGAGCAGGAAAAGAATTGTCATCAGCATGGGAGCCTTGCATGGCTAGCAAACAGTAAGGTTCTTTGGCTCAAAAACAGCAGCTCCGCCTCATCCCGCCCAGATCACAGCTGGTTCTGTTGGCCTTCTGCGGCCCCTGCTGGCGATCAATGGGGCTCGGCTTATTCTGGGATCCACAGAGTTCGTTCGGTAGGCGGTAGGCGGGTGGGTGAGGGTAGTCCCAGGCCAGATATTGGGGGGGTCACTGTGCACCCGTGCTCAGCGGCTCCACCCTCAGCCACAGCCCGCCCTCTGCGCGCAGGATCACCTCCGGCTTCCGGCGCGGCTCCTTGTGGTCCGGCAGGACGCGGAAGCGCAGCAGGGTGAGCGCCAGCGCCACCTTCATCTCGTTCATGGCGAAAGTCTGTCCTATGCAGTTCCTGCAGGAGGGCGGGGTGAGGAGATGGAACCCAGCCAGGCACCATAGGGATATACTCTGACCCGTCCCGCCGCAATTGGTCAGCCCCTCACCTTCCAACCCCAGACTCTGCAGACTTTTGCACATACCCCGAGCCAAGGTTGGAAAGAACCCAACCATCCCTATTTCCCTGTTCCCACAGACAGCCCATTACCATAAACTCTCTGGCCTCACCTCGGCCCCGCGGAGAAGGGAATAAAAGCCAGAGGTGACCTCTTCTGAGGGTTTTCTGGGTCAAAGCGGAAGGGGTCGTAGACCTGGAGGAAAGGCAAAATTAAAATTAGGCTTCTAGGTTGTGTCTCTGAACACAACCAGCCAGCCCCAGAAAAGGCAAACACGGAGAGGAGTGACAGTTCTTGTTTCCAAGTTAAGGCCGAACCCCTCCCCAGGACCCAGAAATGCCAGGAGGAGCCCCCACCTCAGGGTCTGACCAGACTGAAGGATTGTGATGAATACCAAAGACGCTGATGATACAGATGCTCCCTGTTGGGCACGAACATCCAGTCAGTATCATATCTGAGCTGCCCCTGGGGACCACCATCATACTCAGGGGCCTCCCCTCTGCACCTCCCCTCACCCATGACTCTGAGGCACCTTTGGGGATGACCTTGCCATCGGGTAGTACAATGTCCTGGGTGCAGCGGCGAAGAAGGTCTGGGGCCGGAGGATGCAGCCGCAGACTCTCCTTGATGCACATGGTCAGGAAGGGCAGCTGAGCCAGGTCATCCCTAGGGAACCACCACACAATTATCCAGGAGCGAAAACAGCCCTGCTCAGCCTCACTGGCATGCGGTTGGATTCTAACCACTTCCCTCTCAACCTTAGTTCTGTAACAAACTGTATTCCAAATGCAGCCAAGAAGTTTGCCGGTCCCTTTGTTTGCCTTTAGCTACTAAGAACAACCTTGAACTCCTGATACCTCCCATTCTATTTCCCAAGTTTTGAGGTCACAGGGGTCAACTAAGATCTTTGATCTACAGCTCTGGATCAAAGATTAGTGCCCCATCATGAAACACCAGGAAAAAAAAAAGCTGAACTATTTATAATTAAGGTACACCCTTCCAAATCTATCCTTAAACCATTTAATAAATTTGCAATGCAAAAGCTTTAAAATTTTTTATACCATGACCTGGATGTGATACTCAAGAAAATGGAGGGTGGAAGATCAGGAATAAATAAATGGACAATCTGAGCTACAGGAGACCTCACATCAGAAAGAAATTATATAATGAAATAACAGAAGCAGAAATAAAGATCCTTAAAGGCCTATAAGGTTATTTAACTGAATAATTCTAGGAGCGTGGTGATGGGAGAAATGACCCATCCCCATACAGGTGTCAGTTCCTCGCTCGCTCGCACATGCTCTCTCTCTCTCTCTCTCTCTCTCTCTCTCTCTCTCTCTCTCTCTCTCTCTCTCTCTCTCTCTTAGTTTTTCCAGACAGGGTTTCTAGGTGTAGCCCTAACTGTCTTGGAATTTGCTCTATAGACCAGACTAGCCTTGAACTCAGAGATCTGCCTGCCTTTGCCTCCCAAATGGTGGGATTAAAGTCATATGCCATCACCACCACCCAGATAGTCCTTTCTGTATTAATTTTCAGTACTATCCAATAAATCTTTAGTTTTTGTCTTCTAAAGATGCATTCTTTAAAAGATTTATTTATTTATTTATTATGTATACAGTGTTCTGTCTGTGTGTATCCCTGCAGGCCGGAAGAGGGCACCAGATCTCATTACAGATGGTTGTGAGCCACCATGTGGTTGCTGGGAATTGAACTCAGGTCCTCTGGAAGAGCAATCAGTGCTCTTAACCGCTGAGCCATCTCTCCAGCCCCTAAAGATGCATTTTTATATTTTCAGACAAGTATGTAATTTATATTGATCATACTCATCCTCCAGTACTCTCTCGTCTCCCTCCCTCCCTTGCTGAACGACCTTTGACCTCCTAACCAGTCTCTCTTCTACTTCGACATCTTTTCTGTTTGTGACCTGATGAAGTTAGAGTTGCTTGCATGAGCATGAGTGCAGAGAGAAAGAGAGAGAGAGAGAGAGAGAGAGAGAGAGAGAGAGAGAGAGAGAGA